GAGGCCCTCCCGCTGGCCAACACCCCTGAAGTGTTCGGTCTCCATTCCAACGCCGAGATTGGGTATTACACTCAGGCGGCTCGAGCCATGTGGGCTCATCTGCTGGAGCTGCAGCCTCAGACGGGTAAGTCGACCACGAGGACTGGACTGCTTCGGTCAGGGTGGAAGGGTGTTGGCACAAAGCGCTGCTGTTGGCTCCTAGCTTCCCTACTGCTGGTGCCTTCCCAAGAACCAGAAGGCTCAGCAGGGCCCAGGCCTACTTGCTTTCCCTGAAAAGCGTCCTGGTTTTAGGGGAATCCAGCAGTGGCATCAGCCGAGATGATTACATTGGCCAAGTTGCCAAGGACATAGAAAACAAGATGCCCAAAGCCTTTGACCTGGACCAGGTCAGGAAGCACCTCGGGACGGGAATCTCCCCGACTTCGGTGGTGCTCCTGCAGGAGCTGGAGCGCTTCAACAAGCTGGTCACCCGGATGTCCAGGTCTCTGGCTGAACTTCAGAGGGTGAGCGTGTTCCCAATGTGCAGATCACTGCCTAAATGTCGTGCCTGGCTTCTGACAGTCTTGCCTGATTGCTCTTGATTCCAAACAGGCCTTGGCTGGAGAAGTTGGAATGAGCAATGAGTTAGATGACGTAGCCAGGTCTCTTTTTATCGGGCAAATCCCTAATATCTGGAGAAAGCTTGCCCCTGACACCTTAAAGTCCCTTGGAAACTGGATGCTCTACTTCCTGCGGCGGTTCAGCCAGTACACATCGTGGGTGAGTGAGAGGCAGCAGCCTATTCGCTGGTTCAACGTTCAGCCTGGACCCCCTCCGACCACCTCCTGACCCCTTCTCCCACCCCCAGTGGTACCTCTGTTAGCAGCTGATTGGGTGCTCAGAGGGCAGAGATGGTCTCTGACTCTGCAAGCATACCTGTATCTTTTCTCTTTTTCTTAAGATTTTGAAGCATATTATGCACAACTTGACTTATTCATCTAAGAATCTATCTTGACAGTCGTTCTATCTAAGTACATCTTTTTAGGGTACTCCATTTTATAGATATTCCATATCCTGTCCCCTCGTGGACATGTAAGTGGTCATCATTGGGTTTTTTCTTTTTCTTTTTTTTTTGCTAGTACAGACAATATTCTGGTGCCCATGACTTTGGATACTCAAATGAGTATATTCCATGGGTAAATTCCTGCAATGGAAGAGTTGGATCAGAGTGTGTGCAATTTAAATTCTGGCAGCTCTTGTCAGGTGTTTTTCTGGAGAAGTTGAAACCACAGCATATAAGAATCATTATTTCTTCACCTCTCTGCAACACTGTGTGTTCTTACTATTTTGGATCTTTTCTCCCTGACAGGTAAACAATAATACCTGTTTGGATGTGCATTTCTTTAATTACGGTGAGGCTGAGTGTATTTTACGCATTTATAGACATTTTGTGTTTCTTCTTCTGTGAAATGTCTTTTTGTATCTTGATTTCATTTTTATTTGAATTTTGTATCTTTTTAAATTGATTTTTAAGAGCTCTTTGTATATCAAGGAAATTAGCCTTTTGTCTGCCAGTGTTGCAAATATTTCCCCAGCTTGTCATGAGTCTTTTGACTTTGTTTGTGATATTTTTTCCATAGGAAAGTTTTACATTTCTATGTAGTCAGATATATCAGTCTTCTTTTACGGCTTCTGGGCTTTGTACTCCCCACCCCAAGATTATGGCAACAGTCATTGGAGATTTGATCTGGTACTTTTGTGGTTTTACTTTTTATATCTAAATCTTTGCTCCACTTGGAATTTGGTGGTCCTTCCCAATGGGCTGCTAGTTGTCACAACACTGTCTTTTTGCCACTAAGGTGAACTGTGTCTTTGATCGTGAACTCAACTTGCGGTCAGCTTTGACCTCGGCATTTGATGGCAGCCCCAGGCTCCCACCAGCTGCCCTCCCTTCTCTCCAGGTCACGGAGAGTGAGCCTGGCGTGATGTGGCTCTCAGGGCTGCACATCCCGGAATCCTACCTCACGGCCCTGGTGCAGGCCACCTGCCGGAGGAACGGCTGGCCGCTGGACCGCTCCACCTTGTTCACACACGTGACCAAGTTCCAAGATGCAGATGAAGTGAACGAGCGGGCAGGACAAGGTATGGTCAGCTCGTTATGGATTCACAGCCCCTCATTCAGGGTCTCCCTCCCCCAGCCAGCCGACTCAAACAGATGAGCACAGTATGGGCCCAAACAGGCCAAGCCACGGTTGCAAGTCAGACCGAAATACTGGCTGTTTGTGGACTATCCACGTCTTGACGTTTCTGAGGGTGAGTACATGTGTTTCTCTCCCAGTTGCTCCTTTGAGACCTGGGCTGATGTCAGGGGAGACCTGAACCACGTTCACCCTGCTCGTTTGTGGGCAACGGGCTCCTAGGTCAGAATTAGATCTTTCAAAGAACTGGATCTCCAAGTCACTTCCCTGGAAACCTTGAGGGGCCGGGGGCATGGGAGCCAGAGAGCAGGATGGACTAGGCTGGAACCATTAAATTATGCTATAGCTTCAAGTTCCTAAGACACTGGTTACCGACTGCGCAAAGTGTAGCTGGAAACGGCTGTTTCTGGGGGCCGTGTTGTCATAGTCAGAGGACATTTAACTGCAAGCAACAGAAGGCCTCTTGAGCTAGCTTAAGGAGAGGGGATTCACGGTGAAGATTCAGGAACGCTCACAGTCCCAGCTGCAGAAGGCCGGCGAAGTCTGAGAGGGACTGGCAGGTGTTGGGGCCACCACTCTCTCTGGGCTGAATGACTGTCCTCACCTCTGCTCCTCTGCATGTCAGCTGTGTCGTTCTCCCCAGAGACCACTTTCTCTGCAAGGCTTCGACTTCCTGCTCCCCAGTCACTCTGGCTCAGGAGGTCTTGGGTTGCCGTGGTGCCACGTGACTCTGGTGCTCTCATTGTTATACCCTGGGGCCCAAGGCAGTTCATGTCTGTGTATCTTGGTGCCAAATTGCTGGGGAGAGATGACCGCCCCTCAGCCACCTCGCCGTGGCTGTGGGGGAGAGTCACGGGGCCTGCAGAGCATCCCGTGGGGGCTGTTTCTAAGGTAGGCAGGGCAGAAATGATGCCACCTCTTTTGGAAAAAGGCCTGGGCTGTGTCTGGGGAAGGAGGATCAGATAGTTACCTTTTTATTTGTTCTACATGTACATCTGATAGAGCTGTCACTCAGGAGAATCACAGATGCCTCTGCGTAAATCCTGGCTCTCTTCCTGTATCTCTAGGCTGCTTCGTGTCAGGACTGTACCTCGAAGGCGCTGACTGGGATACAGAAAGAGGCTGTCTTATCAAGAGCAAACCCAAGGTGCTGGTTGTCGACCTGCCGATCCTGAAGATCATCCCCATTGAAGCCCATCGCCTCAAACTGCAGGTGAGAGGCCACGTCCACCTCACGTCCCCTCTTCTCTTCTGACTCTGGTTATACACGAGGCGGGTTCAAATAGTCTTGCCTTTGAAACCAGGGGTGCTTGACCTCTCCTGGGTCGGGGAAGCCTTAGAGACACATAAAAGCTGGGGCGCTGCTGCCCAGGAGAATGCGCACACACACATGCACGTGTGTGCAGAGACTTCCGCAGGTGGCACTGATTCAAGGTCAGAGGCTGTGGTCCAGACTGGCTTCAGGGGAGACTCTTCCTCCTTGTGCAATTCAGCGGGCATCGCCTGAATCATAGAGTAGTGACATCTGGTGTGGACGGCAGACACCTCTCGCTCTGCCTGGCCTGGATCCACTTGTAAAGCCCTGTCCACGCTAAGTGAGGGGGGATCACCTGCCTAGGCCCCACCTCGCCTGAGGGCCCCCCGACCCCCAGCACTTGGGTTGGGCGTCACCCCTCTCCAGCAGGGAGCTCTCTTAGCTCTCCTCTCCCCTCCCTTCCTTTTCAGAATACCTTCCGGACGCCCGTCTACACCACCTCCACGAGAAGGAACGCCATGGGTGTGGGCTTGGTGTTTGAAGCTGATCTCTTCACTTCGAGGCATATTTCTCACTGGGTGCTGCAGGGGGTGTGCCTCACCCTCAACTCGGATTAACCCTTTGCGCAGAGAAAGCTGCCTACTACTCTGAGTCTGCGGCTGGCAATGGGCATGCTGGGAGCTCTCTAGAAGGATCAAGTCTGCTGTCATTTCTTGGGGCCTCTCAAGAGGCGGGAGGAGGTTGACATTGATTTCTCTTTCATTTGAAATCAGTCATTTTAATCTCTTTCCATATAAATCAACCTGAATGGTGGTGTTTTTTTAAACTATATTTTAAGGATTCTGTGTACCCACAAAGTAAATACTAGAGAGCATTTTAAGACGTGTGTTTTCTCATCCTTCCCAGAAGAAACACTCGGTCAGGCAAAAGTGCCTGGCATGTCAGTGGCACGGGTGAGAAATCTTTTTCAAAGGCCTGTTTCCGACAATCCAGGCCTGTGTCTGCAGATGCCTCTTTGGCAAGAGCGGTCTGCTGAGGAGCGGAGAGAGGGCCTGGCTGTGGGGCGGGTCAGGCAGGGCCCCCTCCCTGGCTGACGATGCCACAGTCACCACAGCAGCTCCTCCCTTACCCGGAGCTCTCTGGCCCTGCTCCTCCGGCTCTGGGCATGTGGGCGGCTGTGAGCACGACTCCCACCCCCAACCTGCCTGGGTCTGTGTGGGGTTGGGCACAGACTTAGAACCTCTAGGACCAGAGGGCTCCTGGGCGTCCCTTCCTTCTCTGCACCCTGGGGCTCGCATGGAGCCCTGGCCAGGCCTTGTTGGAAGTGAGGAGCGTCCCCCAGGACGTCAGAAGCACAGCTCATTCTAGGGTACAGCTCTGGGCAGTGAGATATTACAGAGCCTCCTCTCTCTGGAAGTGAAGCCCCCACGCCCAGGGCCGTACCCCTGGGTGAGAACACTGGGAGAGGATGCCGTGGTTACTGGGGGGGCCTGCTACTTCTCTCCCTCCCAGTCTCCCCCCAGGCCCTCCCTCAGGTGGTTTAATAAAAGACACAAAACAGAAAGAAGGCAGGTTTAGAAAATAAAGTTTGTTGGGATCTTGAACATTTGGGATAAAACTAACAAAAAATATGAACACACATTCAGGTTGTGGTGACACGAGGAGTAACGTCATCTTATTTAGTGCCTGTGACATACACATACAGCTGCTCGGTGATCGGTGCCGCCCTGGGAAAGGGTGTCAGGAGGCTAAGGTCTCCAGGAGGGAGCAGGGGCTGCTCCGGACAGCTGCCCTGGAAACTGGAGGGACAGGTCAAGGTCGCTATGTGTTGCTCCGACTTTATAGTTAGGCGTGTGACTATCTGGTTTCATTAACATGAGTAGTGACGCGGCCTGCGGCCTGTGCTCTGTCCACGAGCGCGCTCGGACTGCACAGGCTAGGACTGGAAGGAAGCGGCGCGGCGCACAGGTGTTTGGCCACAGCGGTCAGTAGATGCGTATTCTGCAGCAGGGACACGATCATCTGTTGGTGTCAGGAAGAGGGCAAGAGGAGCAGGAGGAGAACAATCTGTTGACAGGTCTGAAAACAATTTGGCATGCATGGGAATTAACAACAAAAAAGAAAGGTGTGGACGAGTTTTTCCTGGTAGTGATCACAGTGCGGCGACAGCGAGGATGGAGGGCCAGCGGGCTTCACACAGTTCTGTCCGTCCCTGAGTGCTTCCTCACCACCTTGCCTCCGCTCACCTGGTCGACCGCCAGTGTCTCCACCTCGGGCGGGGCCTGCGGGGCGGCGTGCTGGATGCGGTGGGCCACCCCCACGTGGGCCTTGTGCTGCTTCTCGCGGGCCGGGCTGTGCTGCTCGCTCGAGCTGCGCTCAGAAGCAATGGGGGGGATCACCAGGGGCCTCTCCTTGATGAGGTGGACCTCGGCTGACTCCCGGGCCAGCAGGAACGGGGTGGGGTCAGGCATGGCATCCACGGGCTCCCGCAAAAGTAGTTTCCGGCTCTCGGCCCCAAACCTGTAGACCTCTTCGAACTCCGGGTGCAGGGGGGCAGAGAGGCTCTTTTTCATGCGGCGGCGGGGTGTTTCGGGCAGCTTGTCTTTGGGGGGGGCTGGCTTGTAGCTGGCCAGCACGGGGCTCCCGGACGGGCTGCCGTCGGAGGGGCCGCTGGAGCTCAGGAGCTTCCTCTTGGCGGCGTGCAGCTGGGCGGTCAGGTAGGCGATGGTGCCGGCGCGCTGCTCCAGCTCGCCGGACAGCATGCTCAGCTTGTGGCTCTTCACCTTCAGCTCCTCCAGGTACTTCTTCTCCCGCTCCTTGACCGTGTTCTCCAGCACCGCGATCATCGCGTTCTTCCGCTCCAGCTCCTTCAACAGCTCGTTGTTTTCGTCCTCCTTGGCTTTCAGCTGAGCTTCCAGTTCTTCGCATCTTTTCTTGAGCTCGCTGCTTCTAGAAGAGCTGTCTCCTGGAAGGAGAAGCCGAGGGGCCAGATTAAGAACCCGCCGAGCAGAGGCAGGGAGACCCTCTGTGTGTGGGAGGCCTCGTCCAGGCTGGCCTCACCTCCCCATGTCGGGGGAGCTCGAGCAAGAGGGGGGCTCGAAGGCCACATGGAAGGCAGGGCTGTGGGCCGGGGGGCGTCCTGCTCCCACAGGGGAGTCAGCAGCTTGGACCTAAACCACTGCCCCCACCTCCGTGTCCTCCCCCCTCGCCAGAGGGTGGGAGATCAGGGGGTCTCTGAGGCCCCTTCCAGCTCTTAGTTCTCTGGCTTATTGTATCAAAGAATGTCTCCAAATTTTAAGAATGCTGAAGTTAAAACAGGCAATTCAGTGTTAGATCTCACTGAATTCTTAGGATTAAACTGTTAGCAGAGCGATCTCTCTGCTCAGGTGATGCTTATTAAATGCCTGCTCCATTCAAAACACGTTTGGAAAGACAAATGTACAACTTCTCCATGTCTAAAGCGCGAGAACTCTGAAGGGTGCGGCGGAGACAGGACGACACTGGTTCCCTCTGTCTCTCAGGCAGGCGTCCCTCTGTCTGTGCTCGGGCTCCTCCTCTGCTCGCCCCCTGGGCTCCTGAATGAGTCTTCTGAGTGCTAATCCTACAGGTGGTGGCCCATCAGACAGATCCCTCAAGGCTAAGCATCTGCTCTCTTCTCGCATCTTTATTTTCCCACTGGACTGCTGTGGCCCTCCCCCTTCGATGCACACGCCCCCAAAGCCTCTCGCTCAGCTGGTCAGTCTACTCGCCTCCCCTCCGTCTCTGGCTCCTGCCTCCTGGCCTTGGTCCAGCCTCCTTTCTGGTCTTCCTGTCTCCTTTCAGCCCCTCCTGTACTTACAAGACTGGTCACCCCTCTAAATAGTCTACCCCTCTGTTCAAAAGTGGCTTCTCACTGCCTAATAAACTCCAAACTGCAGACTGCCTTCCAATTCCTCATCTGTCCCCACTGTCATCTGCTCCCACACACACCCTAAGCTTCAACATCCCCCCGCAAGTCTCCCTCTCTCGGTCTGTCTCTATTGTAGCCTCCACCCTGACCCCCCTCCAGCCCCGTGTGTCTAACCTCCTTGTATAACCAACCCCCTGGCCCAGCCCCAGCGCCGGACGTGCGCTGGACGTCTTTCCCGGCCTTCCGCTCCCTCCCCAGGGCCTTGTTTGTCTGATGCTCCCCAACTTCCCGAGCCACAGCTTCTGCGCCCTGTTCTGTCAGCCGGACTCTGAGCTCCTGAGGCTCCACCATTGGGAGTGTTTTGTGCACAGCACCTTGCATATCACAGGCTCACTGCAGGGAGTTAATGTATTTTTAAAAAATGTGTCCACATGTGTGTGTGTGTGTGCACACGTGTGTGTCAGATGTCAGTAAATGACCTCCTTAGACAGGATGCAGCAATAGTATCTTCCATGAGATTTTTTCTTTGCTTAAAAACAGATTCTGAAATGTGGTTTCAGAGGTGACAGGAGTGACAGAGACACTGAAGCACACGGCTCTGAAGCCACCTCTGAGACCCAGGAGCCACCTGGGCTGGGCCCTGCCACCTGAAATGCTGGCTTTGGCACAGCACTCAGACTTGGTGCCCACTCTTCTTCCCACCAAGGCCTGCAGGGCCACAGCCTGGGTCTGACACAGGGCCCCTGCCTTCACCCAAACCGAGGCTGCAGGGGACTGTAGCCTCCTCCCAGGGAGGTCTGTGACCAAAGGTGTGAACACATGCAACCATGTCCCCCACAGGCGTGAAATCTCTGGGAGTTTTCTTCCTTTGGGCAGTGCCACGAAGGGCCGATGTATGGAATGTCTGAGAGGGAGACTCTCCCTGGGCTGTGCTCCCACCCTGTGCAGGGCAGCCAAATGGGGCTGGCCACGGAGGCAGGAGGCCCCGGGCACCTCTCAGATGAGGACACAGGTTCAGAATGTTAAAGAACTCGCCCCACAGCTCCTCTGAGGCAGAGCGGAGACTGGAGTCCAGGGCTACGGACGGATGTCTGCAGGCCCTGACTTCTCAGGGGCTGCTGGGGGAAGGAGCTGGTATGCCTGATCCCTCCTCCCCCAGACGCTAGACAGCTGCCCTTTGGTGACGGTCATTCCTGCGAATCAGCGCCTCTTGTCTTGCCGATTTTCCTCTCTTCTATAGGAAGCCCCACTCCAACTCCTCCCCTGCACACACATCCTTCCTAGAAGTCCCCGTCTTTCCCCATGAAAGCTGTCTATACGCTGAGCTGCGGTGGCAACTGCTCTCTCACCTCAAGCAGCGTTCCCCGAGCCTGTCTGAGCGTTCAACCACGGCGGCACTTTTCAAACACGCCGACTCCCAGGTCCCCCCAGACTTTCAGAACCAGAATCTCTGGGGAGGGAATCCAGGAGTCTGCGTTTTTACCCCGAGTCTCCAGAGCTTCGCAGGATGGGGCAGGCTCCGCGTGCACTAGTGTAAAGCAGTGATTTTCACGCTGGGGAGGGAGATGACCCACTAAGACCCCTCGAGAGGCCTCCACACTGAGACACCCTCATGCCATGCTTACCATGAGGTCCTGCCACTGAGGAGGGGCCAGATCAGGTTGGGGAGGGGGGTCTTGGGACTCAGGGCCAAGAACCTCGCCCGGAGAGGCAACAGGCAAGAATCATGTGTCTTCAGATTAGCCTGGGCCAAGAGGGGACGGGAAGTGAGGACGCCCTGATTTCTATGACACGGATGACGGGGTGCGGGCTGGGGTCCCCGCCTGGAGGTGGAGGCCCTGAGCTCCTGAATCCTTGGAGGCTCAGTTCCTGGTGGGGGCTGTGGAGGGGCGCCTCGCATCCTTCCTCCGCAGTGAGACCCTGAGGGTGGGCTCCTGTTTGCAGGCCCCTCCTCTGCCACACGCAGACAACAGAGACGTCTTGGCTCCTGTAAGGAGCGCTTAGGAGACTGTAACGCGAGTAAAGCAGATGGAAAGATCAATGCTTGGTGACGCCCTCAGACTCAGTGGAAAAGGGCCGTGTCTTTAACAAGGAATTGTACACACTCATGAATAACAACTGTCACTGTGAAGCCTATTCAGGAAAAGCCTTCCTGACTCTGCCCTCTCCAAATCCCCGCCCTGCTCTGGGGAGCAGGCTACTTGTAACAGGCCCCAGAGGCCCCGGTTTCCACCTCCTTTGCCCTAGCTGCCATCAGGCTGAGGTCCTCCGGGGTTCCCTGAGCTCCCTGAGGGTTCTGGGTGGGGGAAACATTTCTGGGACTGCAATCTGGAGAAAGATGCTCCACGATCCTTTGGGGGCTCTCTAGCAATTGATCACTCACTCAACCCATATCTAGAGAGCACCTGCTCTGTGCCCGGTCTGAGGGACACAGAGGAGGCAGGACCCTGCTCCTTCTCCTCCATCTCTCTGGGTTAAATCACATCTATTTCTTGATTACAGAAGGAACACGTATTCATTGTAGAAGAATCAGAAAATCCAGAAAAGCATATAATAGACATTCCAAATATATGTGTCAATCAAAAGAAAATAAAATCACTCATCCTCCCTCACCACCCTGCTGACAGCCCCTCGTAACACCCAGGGGTCCAACTTCCTGCCATCTTTTCTCAGAGAGCTCTGGTCCCTGCGCACCTCCTCACAGTGACTGTGTTTTCTTCTAAGTGTGTAACTAGTGAAAACAAATGGCACCAACATGTGCCACACAGGAAACAATACCATCATTAACTTCTGGGGCAGGAGTTCTTACCTGTCTGTTCCGAACTTTTGAGTGTCAGCTCATATGTTAAATCTAAAAAGGAAATCATATGCATTAATTTTGTATGGTTACAGTGTATGTGAAGACCTTCATCAGCTCTGAAAATGCAGAACTGACTCCCACGATTGGCCTGAGAGTCCCGCCCAGACAGAGCAGGGTTCGGCAGCATTAGAAACAAGTGTGAGAACAGCAGGAACCACTGTACTTACTAAGGGTCCGAAGGGAAGGACTTTCCTTTCGCCTAAAACACTCCCTACCATGCACAGTTAGCAGCTTGCTCTATATATTACACTTGGGTCATTGGTTCCAAAATGCATTGTAAATTCTAACCACTGCATTCTGATTTTTTAAGTCCTCAGTATGGCTTTCCAGCTTTATGCTCGGTGCGTGGCAATTAGGCAAAGAGGATGAGGTGAGGCATTCAAATGGACCCCAGCCATGACAGGGTTAACCACATCAGAGAGAAGAGTAATCCCCCTTCTCACTCCGCAGGAGCCTGGCCCCGCTGCTGAGCCAGCCACTATCTGAGACTGTCCTGACAACAGTCTGGGCTCTGCTTGTTCCATTCCATAGAGCAAAACAGTCCGCTTTGCTCTACAGCCCCCGCAGGCCTGGGTCCCCTGCCCCGAAGGTCCCGCAGGCCCTGGTACCTGTGCAGTGCTGCTGCAGCCGCCTGATCTCAGCGTGCAGCCCCTTGAGCGTGCTGGCGTGCTCCCGCTGGAGGAACAAGAGGTTCTTCTGCGCGCTGTGCAGCTGGTTCTCCAGGTTCGTGGCTGCCATGCTGACATCCAGATGACCTGTGGAAACACAGACCGTGGTTGCTGTCCCCGACAATGAGGGTCACGGGGTGGCAGGCTGCAAGAGGATGCTGCCTGCTGCCTGCCCTCCTTGGCTCTGTGGGGTTGCCAGTAGCGTGAGGCCCGGCTCTGGATACAGGGGGTGCATCAAATCCAGAGCTCCCTGATTCCAAACCCTCGCCCCTTCATACGCCACCTAACCTCAACAGGCTCTGACCAAAATTACTCTGGAAAGATTTCCCTGACAAGGTAGGTGCCCACTGCTTCCTCACAGGAAAACCTGGTGCCTGGGAAACGGGGTGCACTCTCCCTAGAAGTGGTATCCAGAGCTGGCTGAAGTAAGGGACAGGAGGAAGAGGAGGGGAGAGTGCCGCAGGGAAGCCCCCAGGATTCCACCAGGCTGAGAGGAGCCCCGCATCCTTCTTGGGAGATGGCCGTGTGTGACCGCAGGAGTTGGAGTCTGTCCCCAAACCCGGCCCCCTCCACCGTGGCTTCAGTCATCAATCACTGGCCGCTCACGCGGGGCCTCAGATTCTCTGCCCTGACGGTAACTCGAGAAATGTGGTAAAGTCAATCGGTCTTTCTGGAAAAGCTACCAGAGTAATTCAAGACGCCTCACACAGCACTGAAAGATTCAAAGGACAAAATGTGGACTATTTGCTTATGAATTATTCTTGTAAACGCAGCCTGGAGTGCAGTCTTCTAATTTGCTATGCCAAGAGCTCTCCCCAGAGGACACTTCTCACAAGGCTTCCGGCATGTGCTGCATCTGTAGGAGGGTGTGACGGGATGGGTCTGGCGATGACAACACACTGGGGCGCTGTCACCACGTCGGGCCACACCAATCACTCTGAGTTATTTGTGAGACCAGCGGCATATTTACAACACATTTATTCTGGAGCTAAGAATAGTTCATCACTGGAACTCAGGACACACATTTCCATTCACTCAACAAAGCTTCCCGTCATGTCCTCGGGCCACAGGCTCCCCTCCAGAGGCAAGTTAAGAAACGACAAGAAGGAAATAGAAAGCGACAGACAGGGGGCGAGTGAACACTGACACATCCCCAAAAGGAGCAGGGTAGAGAAAAATAAAAGGAGGTTTCCATTCGGGGAAAGATGACAAGAGAAAGAGGCGACTAAGGAAACAGAGAGAGTGCAGTGGGCGTGTCAACTGTGTACCTTATTATAGCAGGCAATTTGGCAAAGTGGATCTGGAGCCTTAGGATTTACATCCCTCTGACTTAGCAATTTCACTTCTAGGAATCTACCAAAGGGAAACAGTTCCTTCTGTGTGAAAGACTTAGCTGTGAGAAGGGTCATTATAGTGCAGCGCAGTCTACAGTCAGAGAAGAATCCAACAAGAGAGACTGCTTACAGACATTACAGCGATCGCTTCCACGAAGCAAAGATGAGACCTCTCCAGGCCTTTAACTGCCTAAAACCCAGCTGCCCGCGACGCCAGAGTTTCCGTCAACCAGAGCTTTCTTACCTCAGGAGAGCCGTGAGGAGCCTTCCGGCAGGAGCAGGAAAAGTTTCCGCCCTGGAAATCCTCTCCCTGTGTAACCACACACTCCTCATCCAGGGCTGCGGGCCAACACTCATCTCTAAATGGAGCCCCACGCTTCCTGAGCTCCCCATAGTGTCTGGTCAGCACGGGGCCTTGGGAGGAGGATCTGACCCTACAAAGGAGCCAGCTACGACCAAGGCGAGTCTGGTGAGTGACCTGGGAGGGCTACGTGGAGCCGTAGGAGGGAGCCCCTCTGACCTCCTCCGCCCTTCACAAAGCAGAACGTTTGGCAGCCAAACAGCCTCAACATCAAATGGAAGAAAACCCAGGTCTGCCTCCTGAGCTTTTAGCAGAGAAGCCTTCCGGTCAGCAATTCTGGGCCATTTGTTCCGGCACCAGTTTCGTTGTCTCGCCTGGAACATTCATTCCTAGGATCTACGACGGGTTTTGGAAGTTGGAACTCTAGAGGAGATGCCTTGTCATTTACTTTAACGGGACAGACCCAAATCTGAGATTCTGTTGGCTAATGGAACAAGCAGAGCCCATATTTTAAAGGCTTGTCATTGAAGAGGAAGAACAACTTAAATTTGACCCAGAACTTCTTGGGTCTAGAATGGTAAAAGAACAGACCTACGCATATAGTCTTACCTGTCTCAGTAAGGGCTCCCACCACCCACTAGCTATGCAATCTGAGTCCATCCGACGCAAACATCTCGCCCATTACTCATTTCCAACCATCGCAGTGTCCTGGCGATCCTACTTTGAAAATAGTTCTCAAATCCATTTGCTTTTCTCCATCTCGACTCCTAACTCACATCACCCCTCACCTGAATCACTGCAAATTAACGTCCCCTGTCCTCTTGGCCTCCTCGATTCCATTCTTCACAGAGCCGTCAGGGTGATTTAAAAAAAATAGGCGACTGTGTAGAAACCTTCCACCATTCCGCTGCTCTGAGATGGAGTTGGTTCACGCAGCCCTGTGACTGGCCCTGCCTCCCCAACCCTTCCCCGCCCTCAGTGCCCCAACCGTGCAGCGTGCTCCAGGTCCTCCACGGGGCCACGCTCTTCCCCCCTCAATGCCTTCTCATGGGCTCCTCTGCCCAGAACACAGTCCTCTCTTCTGTCCACCTTTCCCGTGAGCTGATGTCTGTTTATTCTTCGGGTGTTAGCATAGGTTCATGTCCTCCCAGAAGCCCTGGCCCCCAGACTAGGGAGGTTATGCACCCCCAGCACCTCATGGCCCTGCCCACAATTTTAGTTCACTGTCTTGTGATGGTACCTAAGTGTGAGTCCATCTTCCACCTCCATGCACAAACTGCAGGCCTGTTCACTGCTGGATCCCAAGCCCTTGCACAGTGCTGGGCACACAGGAGGCCTGAGGCCAGCCCTTGTAAACCAGTGGGCCCCATGTGCCAGTCTGTCGAGTGTGGATGGGGCACCAGGGGAGGGCAAGCTCTTCAGGGCTGAAGAGCCTTTGATTCCATGGGCTGCCTTCTTAGATGCTTAATTCACAGGCATGCCTTGCTCAAAGAAAATGTGACATACTAAAATCTCAACACAATTTCCTCCAGCACTGACAGTACAAAATGAGGTGTGCCCCTACATGGGAATAAATATTTGCTTCTATAATCTACCATGGGGGCAGGGAGGGAGAGAAAATATAACCTCAGCAGCCACCTCACCTTATTTGTAACAAATTTCAATATGATTTAAATGAGTATTCACATTCTAACTGCCTCGGTGAATTGTGACTTTGAGTTGTACTAAATCTGTAATTTATTAATTCTCTGTGGTAAGTACAGAAATAAAAATGTGCCCTTGAAGCCTCCCATTCTCATGGGCAGACAGTCTCAAGAAGAAGAAACACAAGGTGACCAGGAGGAGCACGATTATATAATGTGCAGAGACAGCAAGGGAGCTTCGATGACTGCGTTTGGGGCTCTGACGGTCGGAGGACAAGGGTTCCTCAATCCTGTCACATTTCGCTTGACTGTGGGTCTCCCTTCCTCCACACTCTATGTGGACTTAAAAGGTCAGAGTGAGGAGATGCCACGTGTGCAGGGCATTCTCCAACAAGACAGATCCTCTTAGGTCCGAGGAAACAAATCACATCCCCAAACAGTATCCAAATTACACAATTATGTTCTCATCAGCTCAAAAGGAAACCACATCACTGACTTCCCGAGGACAAAGAGGTGCTGCAGCTTAAAGGAAGGTGATGTTTTAATTCTTTATCCCCAGCTACTGATGACATGTAATCACTGTAATGACTTAATCCTTCCAGGAAGCTGACACGAATAAGTTGACAGGAAAGAAGCATCCCATTTAGGCCAAGGCGGCACAGCTGAGAGATGGAGACAATGCCAAGGAAGAGATGGAGTTGGTCCTGAGAGGCTTAATTCAGAATCTCTACGACACTTCGGGAGTCAGAGACACGAAGGAGCATTCATGACCCGTCCCTAAAAGGGTCAGTGTGATGGATGAAGGTAAAAATGCAGGCGTCTACTACAGATGAATAATGCATCCTACCGGAGTAAAGGCATTCACCCCTTCTCAGCTGTGTGTCAGCCAGTAATGCAGGGGGACATTCATTGAGCACAGCCTGCACAACACTGCACTTTCTGTGTCAAAGGGCGCATACTACAAATCGCGGGCTCTCTGCATCACAGCACTGGGTCTTGAGCAACCCAATTCTGTTTCTAAGCGTGGCCGGGAGCCATAGGAAATTTTCCAGTTATTTGCTCAGCCAAAGGCAGCATGGGCTGCGCACTGGCCCTCTTCTCCCCTTGGAGATGCTGCCCCTCGCTGCAGATAAGGGGGCTTCAAGTGGGGCTCATTTCCAGGGTCAGGCCACAGCGGCAGCCAGAGGGCAAGCCCCACACCCACGAATGGACACAGCTCTGCCAGGTTTTCTCCCCAAAGAACTTGAGCAGAAGCAATGAGAAAGGATATCTCAAAGGCAGAAGACCCGCTGAACAGGTGACCTTGATCATGAGTCGGAGGTTAAGCCACACAGACATTTTTTTATGTGGTAAATTCACTAGGTATTAAATTTCTGTTAATTTTACTGTTCATTCTGTATGTTCAGAAAATTAACACTTGGAAAAGAGTTTCTATTCCAAGTTCTATAGAGAGGGGTTCTGGAGACCTGGCCAAGATGGCTTCTGGAGCTGGGCGGGATGCTAACACCATCTCCTAGTGAAGGTCCTCGGAGAAGTTTCCGGCCCCGACCTCACCGAGCGTGTGGACAAACGGCCAGTCAAGCTCAAGTCCAACTCTCACCCTAATTCAAAAGGAATGTGCTTTCCTCCCTTTCAGGGCATTGACGTATAAATGATGACAGAGTAATCTTACTGACGGACCACCTCCACCTGCACAGGCACAAAGTGCTCTCCCATCACTGAGGTCCTTTGTCCCCAAAAGACTCCTCCGAGGAGAAACAGGAAAAGATCCTGCCGGCGGGAGACCACGCAAATCAAGAAACGCTGCAC